AGGCAGAAGGTTAGAAGCCATTCCCATATACATGCAGGCACGCTCACATATGCCCAGAGAGTTAATATTTGAATGATATGTTTAGCCTGATCACCATTCACATAGAGGTGAGTAATTTTGAATGGTACAATTTAATTCTGAATATATTTCAGTTCATCTTAATCACATGCAAGGGAATCCATGCCATTTTTGTAGTATTAATGTGCTATTTAAGTTTTGAATATATAGTGTTAAGCCAGTTGAATGGTAAGAATTAACCAGAATAAAAGTCAGATTCCAAAAGGATTTAGTATTTGAAAGCTTTTGTGTGAAACTTGTATTTAGGTGTGTATATCACATTGGTTCATTAGGTGCATTATATTCTACATACTACAAGGAGAAGCCTATAAAGATGACTGCTTTTTATAAAAAAAACTTTTCTTCTTTCAATTTCTTGAAAAAGGTTTGCTTTTAGAAAATATTTCACTCAGTTTCTTCAATCCATGTTAGTGTGTAATCCATGCTATTTAAATTTCTGTTAAGAATAAAAACAGCATGAAATCTTTGAATATATCCTGCTCTAATGACAGTTTATAGAGTTTAATTTAATGTTGCCTTAAGGGAAATGTTGAAATAAGCTTCTTATTTGAGAAAAGATATTAATTTATATTGAAAATTAAATATCTCAATTCCTCCCAAATTTCTTTAACAATCTAATGTCTTTGTATTTTCCATGTGCTCATTAACTCTGAAAAATATGCCATTAATTTTTAAATTGTTTATAAGAAAATTATTTTCCTAAAAGTCAGGGAGCCATTTCTCTTAACATCGTAATGATCATAATCTTAGAGATGGAATAGCATCTTAGAATATAGAAGTTTGTCATCTTTTCAATTAATTCTGAGAGTTTGCCTAACCAATATGGGCAATCTTGCTATCCAAACTTGAGATATGTATCTGGCATCTTCCATATCAGATGTCAAACTGCATAAGATTTGCTTTACGAAATCTTGGTCGTATAACCAGTTTCAGAAAAATACATAGAGATAGGTTAGGCATGTCACCATGAGGTGACCAAAATCTAAGAACCTGGGAATATGACAGTATTTTAAGGTTTGCTATCCTTAAAAGAATTGGATCCAAAATAAAATCAATTTTTGCTCTTCTCCAGTGAAAAAATATTAGTGTGGAGTTTAGACATTGTTGATAGGGATATTCATTTGTTTGTAGTACATGTATGAGGGCACTGTCCATTGAATAGCACTTTCCTGCCTTATTAAGAGTTATGACTTCATAAACCCAAGGAATACCTAGCATTTAGAATCCTTTGCCCTGATATAATGTCCTTCAGAAGGTTGAAGTGTCGACTCTAAACCCCCTTTCTAGGTCTTATTTTGCAACCTTTTTTCTTACTAACCTCATCTATACCACAGTCTGCTTAAATATTTGTATGAGTGAGAGTAAATTATTGGCTATAAGGATGATGGGGATTCAGGCATTAATGTTACATAAAACAGTTTTTATTGAGTATTATAACAGATCCTCTGATTAGTTTGTTGCATGGTTGTTAAAAGGCATTCTGAAATACACATTATTTTGAAAAACTATAATGGCTTTATATAATCCAGTTGCCTTTAACAGGAGCATTGAGGTTCTACAGAGAAGGGCATTTATAAGAAACCTTACAAAAATGAATGTGGTAAGAAGCCAATGGAAGGATAAGGCTACCGCTACATGAGCCATGTGTTTGATTTTGTAACCCAGAAGCCTTTTTGTAGATATTGTATATTTTCCACTGAAATTTCATAGTGAATTTTTTTAAAAAAAATATCATTTCCAGAAATCCAAATCCTATGACATATATCAGATTACATATAGAAATGTATAGATGTCTATTATAGGTTCATAATCTAGCTTTCAATTCAATCCATTGATTACTCTGGATACATACAAAAATGATTTTAAAATCCCATTCCCATGATCACATGAATCAAAATACACTCACATACCCACAGACATATACCTACACACAAACTTACATATTTTGTTTCATAATCTGCAAATCAGTGACAAAAATATAGGCAATGTGCAGTTTATAAATCACATGTTAGAATTTGGAGTTTCTAATAGCCCTGCCCATTTTTTCCTATCGCCCACCTGATCAAACAGCTGGACATGAGAGAGCAGATGCTGTTTTCTATTGTTAATAGCAGTTGGAAAATAATAATTTTGATTAAAAAAAACTAGAGAGGAGAGAGGGCTTTATGTTTCTCCAGCAACCTTACTCAAGGCTGTTAACCCTTTCCTCTCTTTCCAGCAATCCTTATCAATCCTTATTTCCCAGTTGCTAAAAGTATAGAATAATAGCTACGTTGGGAAAAATCTCTGGAAAAAGGAACAAGATTAAAAAAATTCCATTCCCTCAATAATTATGTGTGGTTGTTTTATGATACAAGGTGATTTTTCTCTGTGTGAACTGGGAAATGTGATAAGTATATGCAAATGAAATAGAGCAAGTGAGCAGGTTTCTGTGCAGACTGTGAAGTGTCCCACCTACTGACCCCAAACACTTCTATGGCCCCAGAGCCAAAACTGCTACTTATTTTTTGCATATCAGAAAATAAATTCCTCTAAAGTTACTGAATCTTCCAAGAATTTTCTCCGAAGCTTTTAATAACAATTTTGAAGAACTTGTAAGCCACCCAGTGTTTGGTTTTAAGATGGACAATTGTATAATTAAAAAACATTGTGGAGTTTGCCAGGAAGAATTGCCAGTTCAAAGGAATAAATGATCAGTGTTAAAAGCAGGCATAAATGTGAATAGATTTTTAACTCCAAGAATCATAGTTTGCTCTTTGGACACCCTGCTGCTTGCCTTTTATCTTGGAGACCTCTAGGCTTACAATGCAGATGAAAGCTGGTGCATATGTATCACAGGCCATGAACTCTATAAAATATGCATGGCTACCATTTATGAAGCTATGGCGCCTCAACAACAGAGGGAAAATATTCCCTGCAGCTATGCAAAAATCAATAAATATTATTTCATGGTACCCTAGTAGATCAATGATAATTTACTATCACCAGGAAAACCCTTCAGTAGATTATCGTTTGCTAGCATGCTTTGGAAGATTCATACAATCATCCTAGAAGGATATGGATGTGGTTAGAATTTTGCTGAGAACCTATTAAAAAGAAAGCGTAAGAAAATAAGAATAAGAGATGAAAAGTAAACTACAATAGAATGAGCTTGACTTTTTCCCAGATCTAGAGTTTACAAAATATATACACACCATTGGATTAAATGCACATCCGTATACCTATTCATCTATACATTAATGTTTTAGGACAAAAAAAACCAAAGGTAAATCTGTTTTAAAGACTGGAAGGTGAGCAGAGGCTGAATATGAGCCACAATATGCTGGTACTAGTACTGTAAATTTGCAGAACGGCTTTCTGCTCAGAAATATGTTCTGGGCATATATGTTTACAGATTTAATTTCATTTTTTTACTATACCCTTCAGCCAAGAGGCCCAAAGTAATATAACTCCTATCAGTTTTTTGTGCCTTCCAATCCAAGGTACTGTTGGAAATAAAATATATAAAAGGGCTTATGATTTTGTCTATCCATTGGTAAGATTAATCTTTTAAAACAGAACAGATGAGACCCGTTTGGAGAAGATGGATTGTATTTACTACTATAACATAAAGCAAATAAGCAGCCTATGATTCAAATTCTATGCTCAACAGTAAGTAAAATAAATTTCAAATAAAGCTTGGTTCCCAGTAATTTCATGGACATGTCCATGTCATTTTCTGGTTTGCTGTTGTCTTCTTCTGTCATTTTTGTTCTTTTTCCCATGTCAATTGTATTTTTGGATTCCCTGGTTGGTCCAACCAGGCTTTGGAGATCATCCAAGATCAGGTAAGTGTTTCTGTGAAATGCCAAATTTGTGAGAGTATGGCACATAATTGCAGAGCTAATTTGGCTAAGCCAAGAGATTGCTTCAAATTTAGGGAGTCATGAAACAATAGCAGGTTGTTAATTATTATATTTATTATTGTATTTTAGTTACAAGGGAAGTAAAGAGGTGCCTCTGGTACTTTTGGCCTCAGATGACAAAATAACTTGGGTATGTATGGGGAGGGAAGCTATTTATTGCTGCCTTCAAGCATCAAAAAGCTTTAAGACATTTCTCTCAATTTTCAAAATTGCTTTTCTTTTACAAACAAAAACATTTCCTGGAAACACTGGAAAACATAAGGATAAATGTAAGATTAAACTTGGCTATTATGTTAATAAAACCAGGGCAATTTTCAGAAGTATTTCTTCTTTCCTTATAGTAAGCGATGGAATGTTGGCATGAAAAGGTGCTCAAAATGTGATTGGATTATGTATATATGTAAGTGTATGCATGCATGCAAAGGAAAGAGACAGGAGGAAGAATGAGATTGAAGAATTAGGATGAATCTACATAATCAGTAATCCATGAAACCAAATGCAATCCACCAGCTTTAGATAGCTATTGGATTCATCATTTTTTGTTTGCTTTTGTTCTTGCAGCCCATGATGGGCTGTATGTGAGGCAGCTTGCCAAGAAGCCAGGTGGCCATTAAATGTGACTGGTTGGCAACATTAAATTTATGAAGCCATGTATCACGGCCCATAAACCAATATCAGGGAACATTTTTAAATTCCATAAAATGTTAGGCGCTCCTCAAGGTTTCTACCTTTGCTAAAGCATCCCACATTTTACTGAAACAATATAATTATTTTTATATTGACAGATTTCTATTGGTTGGGGATTTACAAAATACTACTTTGTAGTTGAATTAAAATGTATTTTTATGTATGTACACAGATATGCACGTATGTAGGGTGGTGATGGGAAGGCATGAGATGAAATGTTTTTAAACTGGATCAGAAGAACAGTGTGGGCATGGGATATGTGTTATCTAACAACCTGCACATCATGTCTGATCTCGTTTCTGAATTTTTTGCAGAAAACCTTCTTCAGTGATGTCGACTGAATATGTAGAAACATCACATGATAAGTCTGAAGACAGATTGGATGGGCAAGAGACTTGCTGTAACCATTTGGGTCAGTTTTAGGGAGATGATGTCATTATCTGTGGCTATTAGAGAAAAGGTCTTTGCATTATGAAGTCTGGCCCATTGACACTCTTTCCCTTTAGTGTCCCCCATCCCCACTTTATCCCTTCCCCCTAAGTAGAACAACTGTTTCTCATGAAACTTGATAGACTGCACCTTCTGGTGACACATCAGATGCCAGATGGAGAGGCAATAGATAGAGCTCTTTCTTTCTTTCTTTCTTTCTTTCTTTCTTTCTTTCTTTCTTTCTTTCTTTCTTTCTTTCTTTCTTTCTTTCTTTCTTTCTTTTTTTCTCTCTCTCTCCCTCCCTCCCTTCCTTCCTCATTTTAGCCAACATACAACAAAAAGGGAATAAAAAACTGAGATTTATTTATTTTTTTGTTTAATACAGTTGTGTATATATTTCCCCCAAACAAGCTTTTCTTAGATGATTTTATAAGCAATGTGGTCAAAGAGAAATGTAAATTTTACTGTGAATATTTTGGGAGTGAGGAGATGTTTCTTTCAAAACCATTGCCTTAGAGAGCTACATTATCCTTTCTGCTGCTTCAATAGGCATATTTAGATTTTCCTAACTTCTCAAAACTCGTATTTGCTCATGTTTCAGAATCTCACTTTACCTCAGTTCAATGATTTGAGTTTACCAATCAGACACAAATGTTTGCTAAATGTGTCCCAGCAAGCCACATGGTAGCAAAAAGATTTCACTGACCCACAAAAATCAAGATTGCCTTCTTTTGGCCTGTTATTCAAACACATCTGAGACTCATTCCATGTTGCCTTTGGCTTTTGACACTGTGCAGTGATTCATATAATAATTAGTTTGTGAGAGGAAAAATTTCTTCCAACAAACCAAAATTGCACCTATAAGAAGAATATTTTCCTAGTATTTTTTTTTTTTTTTTTGGCATTTGGAAGTGTTCTGAATGTCTCCTTTCCTCCAACTTAACTTTCTAAGGAATCCTTGGCTATCGTTGTACTAAACTTTTAAAAAGTATTTTCAGGACCTTGTTAACCTAATGATTAAGTTCCTGATAACCAAATTTGATGTTAATGTGACAACAACCCACAGATGATCTTTCTGAACAGCTGCTCAAAAGTTGTGAACTCAAGAGGATACCAAGAAAAGTGAAGACTCATCAAATCTCTCAGAAAAATGATCTGGAACAGAGAAAACCAAAGAGAAAAGACACACCAGCAATAAATACTCCTCCACCAATAGCAGGTTAGCATTGCTGATTATTGCCATTGATAGCTGCATGGAATTCAAACTGAATAACACCATATCTTTTACTGGCAATTCCCTAACTTTAATGTATTACATGTAATATATTGTATATAATATATATCAATCATATTATGTGCCATCAAGTCATCTTTTTTTACTAATGACAGAAGCCTGGTTCAAATATTTTCTAAAGAAGATTCAGCAGCCATTAGTAAAGGAATGGGACTGCCTGCTTCAGTTACATGTTGTATTAAAGTGAAAATGAACACCATCCTTTGTTTAGCTGAGAATCTTAATAAAATAGATCATGTACTATCCCTGGGAAGACAGAGAATGCAGACATAGAAAGCAGAGTACATGTTAACGTTGTAGATAGAAATTACTATTATCTCGATACAACTGTAGCTAGTTATAACTGAAATTGTCCTATTGGTTTTTAGAGGCTTGACATTAGGTCAAGATGTTTTCAAAATGAAACCTACAGTCAATATTGACCTCAGATCCCCATTAATAATAACAGCAAAGCCTGGGAAATTCCACTGCCAGTTTAGATCTTGCAGGGTATTTAGTGGATGTGTGCCCATCTTCTGCTCAACGTTTTTGGAGGAAACTGTTATTTTTCTATTTTAAACACTTTAAATGCTTTATATGCCACAATTCTTAAGTACCAGATATAGATGAATGGACATCATATTGGATATTCAGATAATAAAGAAGCTTTGCTGTATCTGAGAACATGAAAATAGAAGAGGAAGCAATGAGGCATATGCATTCCCCGAATTTCAGTGAACATTAACCTTAAAATTATTTAGATTTTAAATATGCTAAAAAGAAAGTCAACTAGCTTAGTATCAAAAAATCCTGTTTGTGATTTAAAGCATTAGTAGTTATATCTGGGAATTCTGGAATTCATAATCAAAATCTATCTGGAAAGATCTAATCTGGAAAAAATATAATAGACTAATTGCATTTTCCAGATCAAAACAAAATATCTTATTTATTAAGCAGGTTTTGTTTTAACCCAATATGCATGAGTCCATGTATGCATAAAAGATGAACTACAGTGTCTTGTTGCTATTATTTGTTATATTTCTGCAGGTATTCTTTCAGACCATTTATTTATGAGATATGACCTCTCTGAGAAATCACCAAAAAATAATGTTAAAAAACCAGAGCAAGATCAGAAAAAAACCAGAAGAAAAAATACTCCTGCCATAAACCCACCTCCTCTACTTGCAGGTAAAGCAAATCTAAACAAGAAGAGTCAACAGATTTAAAGTAGCACTCTACAACTCTCGAACAAAGCATTTGCAAAAAGGATCTAGATTTGTTTTTCTGTTTCCTTTTTTAAGAGGGGCATTCAAGTCTACAAGTACTTGGAAGTGTTGGTTTCAGAAGCTTCTATAGCAGTCATGTCCAAGACCGCGGCCTATCAGCCGTGTGCCCTGGACATGGGCTAGTGATGAAGCCACACAAGGTTTATAAGAGCCTCTCTCTGAGGGAGATGGTTGGTTAAGAAGTGTGAAATGTAAATAAATAAATAAAAATAAAACCTTGTTATTTATATACATTAATTATATTGTCCCTAATTACTTTAAAAATACAAATCCCGGGTATGTTCATATTAACAGTAGAAAGACAACGACCTGCAGGATAAATGTAAAAAACAACTGTTTATTAGCTAAGCTTTCATCGGTCCCCTGCCGACGTCATCAGAGTAAGAAACCAGAGATTTGAAAGTCTGCCTATAAAGCTGACTGTTTCAGTGCTCTGCTCATCAAGTGCATCACCGGTCTACCCACCCCAGTCGGTCGTATTCTCTCTAGTCGCATTGCAGGCTGATGCGATGCGACTAGAGAGAATACGACCGACTGGGGTGGGTAGACTGGTGACGCGCTCAATGAGCAGAGCACTGAAACAGTCAGCTTTATAAGCAGACTTTCAAATCTCTGGTTTTTTACTCTGATGACATTGGCAGGGGACCGACGAAAGCTTAGCTAATAAACAGTTGTTTTTTACATTTATCCTGGAGGTCGTTGTCTTTCTACTGTTAATATTAATTATATTATATATTTTATATGTGGCCCAAAACAATTCCTCTTCACTCAGTGCAACCCAGGTAAGCCAAAAAAAAATGGACACCCATATTTTATAGCTTCCCATTAGCCAGGTTTGTTGGAGACTGCAGCAACACATCTCAGTAGGAAAGCTGGGCAGTGTTCATCCACTGGCACACATGTGCAAACTTCTTTTTTCCTTCCTTGCTCCATTAATGCACAGCTTTCAATCAGTCTCACCCTGTAATGTATAGTGTCACATAATGTGCCCTATAACATATTAACATAGCTGTTTCAGGCTTTACAATCCTTTCTGTAAATGTTTTCCAGCAAGCTCTTCCCTATTAAACTGAAAACTTAATTTTCTTATTAACACACTTTGTGCTTCAGTGTTGCACAAGGCACAATAAGTTAACCCACTAATTTAAAAGCCACACTGGGAGAAGACGAAAGGTTTTGAATATGAGTAACCCTATTTTCATTCAGTTTTTGTGTTACACTGAAGTAGCAAATGTGTTGGGTAACAGATAGCACCTGGTGTCATGCTTTCTACCAAAGACATTGCCCTTGTCAGAGCCTGACAAAATCCCCCACCCTTTTTTCCCCTCAACATTTTAGTTCTTAGTTAAAAAGAAGAAAGAGGGGAAAAAATCTCAACTACAGGTGACGCTCGACTTATGAGCATAACTGGGCCCAGAATTTCCGTTGCTAGAATGAGGTTGTTAAGTGAGTCATGCCTGCCTTTATGACCAACTTACTAGAATATTAGACTCATCTGCCTAATATTTCCCATGGAGAGGTATCTACTACCATCACACTAATATTTCTTTGTTCACTTTTGACATATACTGTATGCTGGTGCAAGATTCAGATCCATTGCAAGTAAGTCAGATACAAAATGCTGTAGCTGAACCAGCATTTGTTTTGCAGTATTCTGGTGGTGGTGCAGAGGTGAGAATGCAGTTTTGCAGGCTAATTCAGTTCACTGCCAGGAGTTCGATCCTCACTGGCTAAGGTTGACTCAGCCTTCCATCCTTCCATGGTCGGTAAATGAGGATCCAGATTATTGGGGGCAATATGCTGACTCTATAAACCCTTAAAGAGAGCTATAAACTCTTAGAAAGAGCCATCTTTGGGTGGCTCGCAATTAAAAATTGTGTTAATAATAACATCTTAAACTATAAAATGAAACTTCTTAAAATATTAAAGCAACAAAACCTGGTGCCAAATCAAATTTCTAATATGCAATTATCTAATCTCCTCCTAGTGCTTGGGGGGAAAGCCAAGTGTTCAAAGCCTTAAAGAAGTAGAAGCCTGCTGAACTTCAGGGCTATCAGTTAGCAATATTTAGGGAAAGGGACTAGGTGGTTATGCACCCTAGATGTCCTTACAGAAAGGCAACGGCCTGGTCTTATGTCATATTTTTAAAAGTTTAAGACACAAAATCAGCAGCAGCAGCTGTCCTAGAATGACAGATGATGGCACTGATTCTATATGCTGTGAAGAGATGCTGCAAGTTGGTTTAGAAATTAATATAGAAATTTGATATGAAAAAGAGGATAAGCTATATTTACATTGAACAAATTCTGGTTTGCATCTATTGGTAGGATATTGAATCAAGTTGAGTGATTCATTGATTCAACTTCTGAGTGCTTTGAAATGTTTGAAGACCATTCAAGAATGATGGAAAGAATGATAGTATCTGAGTTGACTTTGAGTGGCTATAATCACAGCACAACACAAAGTATTTACAAGTTCAGCTACCATTACAAAATTATAAGATTGTAGCACTGCACTAGAGTTGCACTAGTAGTTGAGCACTAGAACATAATTTACACTTGGTAATGTTAAGTTAATCCTCATATAAAACAACAGTAGGTATGAACAAGTGAATGATAAATTGTACTATGATTATATTATTTTCTGCCACCAAAATATCCTTCACATAGCTATTGTTGCAAATAAAACTCAAAATATTTTTTCAGTAACTCATCTTTATTATTTATTTCCAATCTGGCTTTCTTGTGGAATTATTAGAATGATGATTAGATTTTTTTTATTTTTTTTTAAAGAATTTTAATTTTACTGTTCCAAAGATTTAATGAGAAGCTTTGTACAGTCACCTTATTTCGCATAGTAAAAAAAAAATAGAGAGGTATGGACATACGGCCAATCTTTCCCCTTTTCATTCAGGCACATAAACTCAACTCAAAATGAACTCTTCAGCCTGGAATGGTGCAGAGGAATGGCCAGTGCATGAATGATGATTAGATTTTAATTCCATCTTTTTATATATAACTCAAGGTGATGAAAATATCTAATACTCCTGCCTCCTATTTTCCCCACAACAACTCTGTGAAAAGCTCTTGAGCTGGGAGAGATTGACTGGCCCAAGGTACCCAACCAGCTTTCATGCCTGAGGCAGGCCTCAAACTCCTGCTTTCTAGACCAAGCACTTTAGCCCTACATCAAACTGCCAAATGGATACATACATTTAATAACTCTCTTATTCTTTTTTTTTTAATTATAGCTCGGTGTATGTTTCTTATTTTCTTTCTCTGAAACAGCCGCCAAAATTGTAAGAAGAGATAATATCCCAGAGTGCAAACTAACAGCAGTTTATTTCATGTATCACTTAATTAATAGTCCCAGTGATGTAACTGTCTGCCAAATGATTTTCCTCACAAGAAGCTTTAAAAAAATATGCTGTTTTTAAACTATTCCCATTTAAGATAAAGCTTTCGATGTGTGTGTGTGTGTGTTTCTGAAGTAAAGTGTCTTTAAGAAAGAGACTGAACCATGTATAAAAAACCAAAGGAGGCAAAATTCTAAAACCAATCTATCTTTAGTAATGAAAACAGTAACAGGAAGATTGGAATTGCAACAGTGGCACTGATTTCCAGTTTATCTCAGAACTGATTGTGGCATACAAAGCTCTGGATGTCTTGGAATTAGGTAGTCTGCAAGTCCACTTTCTTAGTACAAGACCTGAAATATTATGTAGACTGGAAGTATGAAAAATAAAGCTATTAGTCATTCAATCTTTTCAGCAGTTTTCTATGCCTAGATTGTTACAAACAGACTTTATTTCAGTTGGGTGTATGTGAATTTATAGGATTTTTTTTGTTTGTGAGAGAAAATGTTCTGGATGTATATAGGCAGAGAGAATCAATTAAGTTTATAAATGCTATTCATTTCACCAGCAATTATTTTTTATCAATTTTTAATTCGAACAATATTAATTGGTTATTTTTAACATTCTGGCTCTGCTCTTTAACTTAACTGGCCAGAAAGATAAGTTGGGTTGAGGTGGTTTATAGCTGATTTTCTATTTATCTTTATTTGCACCAATGAGTAATTCCTAATTGTGCCTGATGTCAATTTTTTGTTCAAATAGGCATAATATTAACACTGAAGATTCTTAGATATCTTTGTATAATTAAACCCTATTTTCTTTCTGGGAGATATAGAGATAGTGATGACCAGCAGTACAGTGCACACAATTCATTAGACTAAATAGTCCATGAAGTTCTTTCTGTAGATATTAATTGAACATATTCACCCCCGGGTTAGTATCCTAGGACTGTTATTGTTCTACAGTGGTGAAATGGTCAGGTGCTATAGGCTATACTAAATGCAGTCTTTTATAATCTCTGGTTTAAGATGTGTCCTCTGAGCCACACAGATATTGAAAAGGTCAAAGGAAAGAGGAGAAGAGGGTCTCAAATATGCCTTTTCCAAAAGGCAACTGGACTGTTTTTTTTCTTGGGGAAGAAGAACAACACATTTCGTTTCTCATCCAAGAAACTTCATCAGTTGTGATGGGGGGGGGAGGGGAGAGATGGAGGATGGGTTCAGACCGGATTTGGGGAGGGATAGTTGGATTGTATTTCTTTGCAGTCATCTGGTCTGTTAGCACTCTCTGTGAGGGTCTTGAGGCCCCTTGGGGGTTTATCCTTGCCCTCAGAGTGCAGTTGGTTGTGGAATCTTCTTGGCACTGCTACAAGAGCTGCATTGTAGACTGGAGATAGGTGGTGTCTTATCCCTCCCCCTCTGTTGAGAGAAGGCTGCTCTATATTAACATAAATGATCTTTTTTACAGATCTTTTAAACCAATAATGATGATGATGATGATGATGATGATGATGATGATGATGATGATGATGATGATGATAAAGTTGGAAGGGACCTTGGAGGTCATCTAGTCCAACCCTCTGCTCAGGCAGGAAACCCTATACCATTTCGGACAAATGGCTGTCCAGTTTCTTCTTTAAAACTTCCAGTGTTGGCATACTCACCGCTTCTGGAGGCAGGTTGTTCCACTGGTTAATTGTTCTAACTGCCAGGAAGTTTCTCCTTAGTTCTAGATTGCTTCTCTCTTTGGTTAGTTTCCACCCGTTGCTTCTTGTCCTGCCTTAGGCGCTTTGAAAAATAGCTTGACTCCTTCTTCTTTGTGGAAGCCCCTGAGATATTGGAACACTGCTATCATGTCCCCCCTCGTCCTTCTCTTCATTAAACTAGACATACCCAATTCCAGCAACCGTTCCTTATATGTTTTAGCCTCCAGTCCCCTAATCATCTTTGTTGCTCTTCTCTGTACTCTTTCTAGAGTCTCAACATCTTTTTTACATCGTGGTGACCAAA